ACCACAACAGAGCAGATCAATGATCCTCAGCTCGGCCAAGGCTACCTGTCTGGTATACGAGCAACCAGCCTGACCGATATCATGGACAGAAGCAAGGGTGATGCATTGTCAAAAGGCGTTGCAACCCTTCAATGTGCATGGTTTATCACACAGTGCATCACTCGCCAAATTCAGCACCTGCCTCTCACTGAACTCGAGGTTGCCACTCTGGCATTTGCGACAGTCAATATCTTCACATGGCTCTTGTGGTGGTCTAAACCCTTGGATGTACAGTGTTCAATCCCAATTGGACCTGATATTGATAAAGATGACAAGGAGACAGAGATCAGGCCGATCCGTCGAAGATCAACATGGAGTCCTTTGGATTGGGTATTGGGAGGGCCTATTACTGGCGACTACGATGATTACAACCCAAAGGAATGGGATGCGGTACCTCTATTCTGGTCTTCAGAGACTGGGAGAGGAGGAAGCACTGGGATATTCATCGAGCTGGTGATTGGTGCCGTCTTTGGCGCCTTGCACTGTGCTGCTTGGAACTCTGTGTTCCCAACCATGATTGAAGCCACAATGTGGAAGGTTTGTTCAGTTTTCATTGCCTCGTATCCTTTGGTATTTTTGATGCTGGGTCTTCTTAACAATCTGTGTGACTCCGGACCATTGAAGTGGTTGCCTGAAGTTATGACCATGCTGGGAGTTGGGTTATATATTATTTCGAGAGTCATTCTTCTTGTTCTACCCTTGACAACACTGAGATCACCACCTCCAGGGGCATTTGTAGATGTAAATTGGACAGCATATATGCCACATCTGTAAATCAGATCAATTGTATAGTAGTGCACAGATATATAGAATAGAAAGTCAGGTAAAATCTGTAGATGTGTGGCACAAAATGAAAAAAAGGTACAAGACTCTAATTATGAAAATGTATCTATAGACGTGGAATCTACTGAGTCCACGGACTGGACTCAAGATGCATGGGTGGAAGACCTCTGAGACTAGTGAAACATAGGGTCGGGATAATTATGCGAGAGACGAGGTAGAATGGTAATAAACACTCTCAATACTATAAAGCGACGATTTTTCGGACGACAGGTTCGCCACCAGAAGAACATACAGATTTCACCAGGATAGACCGAAGAACTAAATGTGGAAATCAACCACACGATGAAGTCTGCTTTGATGAGAATCCTGCCCACTGGTCTCCCAAAAGGTCCATAAATCAGCAAGGAGTCTTGAGAACAGGGGTCGTTTGAGATGCCTGAATAGTCGTACCCATTAATTGAACTATGCTATATTCCCTGTCACCAGTTCCCAATGGCTCTCACAAATTTACAAGACCATCGGATATGTGTCCATTCTAGAACATTGTGCGGTTGCTGGCAACCAATTAACCTTGTACGAGGGTGAAATCAAGAGCACATTTGACTGTGGGCCTATCTTTCACGCATGTCGACGCCGTTTAGTGATAGCGGGTAGCTTTTTGTTTGTTGAAGTCGTCACTATGTTTCACGGCCACTTAGTCCAACGTTGGATCAGGTGTGATTGAGCCGATTAGGTCTGACCAGGTCTGACCACGCGCCTGGTCGTTCGATTAATGGCGCGGTTCGAGCTTGGATCTACACAAGAACTTTTTCTTCCTCAGCAAATCACCATTTGCAACATTCCAGCGGCAGGCAGAGTTTCGCTTAGAGTAAAATGCAATTGCTTTGAGCACATATTGAGACCTTGTCAGGATAAGTATGGAGCGTACAAGTAGAATAGATAGCTACTCACTCATGACAGGGAGCTCCAACGCATCGACCTCGTCGAGTTTCAATGCATCCGTCGAGTCTCTAACGTCCCCAAAAATCGGACACCCATTTTATGAGGCGGCTCAGAATAATAAAGAGGCGATGCAATGATTAATAAAGAACCGATGCAATGAATAACAACGAACCCCGCAATGAACAATCAAGAAACCCGTAATATAATATAATGCATAAATTCGATACAAATGATTGAATGATACATGAATAGCATAAACCAAGTACAACAAAAGCGATAAAGTACACGAAAAAGAGCGGAGGGATGATAAGAATGAATAAGTAAGATAATCTAAAAAAACGGTCATGTTTCCTTTTCCTTCTTCTTCGTTAATTAACCCTCCGACCGAGGCTCTTCGTTACCCTTCCGACCTCTTCCCCAACGGATTCCTCAACAACGACTTGCGCAGTGAAAAGCCGCGCTTCGACCCTGTCCCTCCTTCCTTTCTAACATTCCCCAATCCCTTATTACTATTAGAACCCAAATTCGTCTTCCCCGATCCCTCATCACGCTTCCCCAACGCCTCATTAATAACCGCCAAATTCCTTTCCGAAAGATCCGTCTGCATCCGCCTAATAACCGCGCCCCCTCCCTCCTCCGTCGTGAAATCGAATCCTCGTTGAAAAAATGGCGACTTGCACTGGCCCTGCAGATATTGAACATAGGAAAGTGAAGGCGACGCCAATGGGAAGAATTAACATTGTTTGATAGCGAGGTATGTGGAGCAAAGAGGAGTTGTCAAAAACCATATCTTGACAACCAAGCAAAGCAATCCCATTGGAATACCAACCAGTTACCATTTTGGGACAAACGGCGGGAGGCGGACAGCGCTCGAGCGCGTGTAGAACCCATATTCGAAATCCCGACTGATCCGAGGACGGAAAACTGCAACGTACATGGTCACCTGCCCGCCCTGATGACTGTAATTATGGGCCAGATAGCCGAGCCCGACTCGCTAGGACTCTGCGGTAAAGTCCCTCATAATTAACCATATTTAATGATACATAGAGGGACAGCATCAAAACAGTCTAATTAGACCGCGCATACGGGAGGACCCTGGACAATGTGGATTTTGGGTGATCCGGAATCCGGACAAAATTTGAGATTTTGCCAAGGTATGCCTGGTGAAAGTCCGGACAAAAACAGCCTCCAGGCGACGGAGGCCTGTTCCATATCCGGACAAAATTTCGCAGATAACCTCAAAATTGTGCCCATCCGCGCCCTTTGGGGGCGCGGGAAACTTTTTGGCTTACAAACGTTCCCAAAAAGGAAATTTACTGGTCCAAATCGCAAAATGGTTGATCCAAATCCGGACAAAAATGTCAAAAAGGCCGATTTTGGCGTCCGGACAGGAATCACGGAAAAATCGCAAACCGGATCAGGCCTATTGGGCTATTGTCCAGGGTCCTCATATGTACGGGCCACATGTCATGTCTAATGTGATGCGATTGATGGGCCGGATAGGTGTGTTTTTCCATAACCTGAAGCCGATTGACCCCCTTGGTAAGTGTGCATGTTCCGGAACACAGGGTAATAGGTATGTATAGTACAAGGCTCTGAGGTTCACGGTAAAGTGACAGGTCCTTGAGGGCCCACTAGTGTATTTCAGTTGTCAGTATAATATATCCTATCAATCCTATGCCAAGGTTAGGTAGCGATCAAAAATCAAAGGAACAGACCGTGAATCATTTGTTGTTAATAGTTATCGCCGGTCATCATCTTCCTTCACAGCCACAAGGCCAAGTTGGCTCGAGTTTTTTCCAGTCTTTTCTCCAGCGTTTCCAGTCTTTTCTTCAGCGATCCCGGTCTACTTATTCTTCAGCATGCATAAACATCGATACAAATGATTGAATGATACACAAGTACAGCAAAGCGACGACAAAGAAGTACAGTAAAACAAGCGGAGCGATGATAAGAATAAATAAGTAAAAAATAATCTTCTAATATTTTCATCCCTTTCTCCGTCAACTCTCCCCCCTCTTCAACGGATTCCGCAACGACTTGCGTAATGAAAAGCCGCGCTTCAACTTCCCCAACGCCTCATTCGACTTTCCCAACGCCTCACTCCGATTCGACTTCCCCAACGCCTCATTAATAACCGCCCCGCCGCCCTCCTCCGTCGCGAAATCGAACCCTCGTTCGGTGGATACGAGGCCGGTAGCCTCGTAACCAGGCCCTCTGAAATCTCAGAGAGATTCCTCGTCAGAGGGCCTGGTAAATGACACCATCAATTTGCCGGGTTCAGGTTTCGCTTAAATTGCTTAGTAATAATTTCTCAATACAGTAATACCTTGTCCATCATCAAACTTTTTTTGATGAAAGAAAATAAATAAAAATAAAATCCCAATCCAGTAGCTGACCCGGCGGTAATGATAGAGTTGCGCTGAATACCACCTATCACCATGTTTCAGGCTGAAATATTCACAGGGTGGAGCAGATTGGTGAATCTGAATATATTTAGAGAGGTAGCTATTCCAGGACCGGACAAGTCATCTATTTCCAGGGTTGGAGTAGATGAGTCTAGATTTGCTAGAAATGCGGCACATGTCAAGAGGTCACCTGCTCCGACCCTGGAATAAACGTAAAATTACTAAATCAGGCCTGGGATCTATTCCAACCCTTGGGGCATATGATCTTTTCCCACTGCTTCCCAGTCTGCTCCCACGTCTGATTAGACTTCGCAAAGAAACCCCTGCAAGGATATTGCAGTGAAACATGGTGTATGAGGGTCAAGTACCTACTCAATTCTGCACCAAGGGGGCTTCAGTGAAGGACAAGTGATTCACCCTTTCTGAGGATGAACTTGCAGCAGAGGACGTGTATTGCATCTGGTACTTGAAGGTGTTTTAGCTCTGATGGGGCTCGCGTAGTCTCACTTACTATTTTCAGAATTATTTTATTCACAAAAAAAAATTGATTGCAGACAAGGTTTCCGAAAAAGTCTGTATTTGTTGCAGAAGCGAAGAAAAAGCATCACTCGTCCTGTCTGCTCATTGTTCAAAAATACCAAATACAATGTGACTGTTTTCCTTCCTTTCGCCCTTTGTCATGAAACGTGAAACTTCATCAACTTGCATTGTGAAATTTCATCAGCTTGCATTGCGAAATTCCATCAGCTTGTGTTGCAGAGTCCCATCAACTTGTGTCACGAAACTTCATTCATCAGCTTGCACTGCGGAACTCCATCGCTTTCAGGTGCGTTGATGGTGTAGTGGTAGCATTGTCGCTCTTCAAACCGCCGCTAGTCCAGTTGGACCAGCGGTGGATCCTCGCGACAACCCAGGTTCAAGTCCTGGTCAACGCCTGTGGCTTGGATTTGAATTTTTGTATGCTTGTGTAGAGAATTCGGTTTTGGTATGCCTGTGTAGGCTGTGAAACATCATCGGCTTGTGCCCGAAAACATCATCAACTTCCGTCGCGAAATTTCATTGGCTCCGGTTGCGTTGATGGTGCAGTGGTAGCATTGTTGCTATCATTCAGCTGCTAGCAAGGGCTTTGCGACAACCCAGGTTCAGTTCCTGGTTGGCGCCTGAGTCTGTTGCTTTTCTTGGACAAAAAAATGCTTTCTTTCTCTCTTTCTTTCTTTTTCTTTGCCATTTCCCAGTTGGCCTACTATCTGAAGCTTTCCTACTGTGCGGAGCTTTCCCAGTGAGCCTACTCTCTGATCCGAAACTTTCGCCTATTGTCCAAACCTTTCTTTCCCATTTCACTCTATCCCAAACCCATTTCACTCTATCCCAAACCCAAGTCACCAAAATCAGCAAACCCAAGTCAAAAATCACTTCACTATCCTTTCAGCACTGACCCTGGAATGGAACTTCATCAGCTTCAGCTGTGTTGATGGGGCAGTGAGCTTCAGTTGCGTTGATGGTGCAGTGGTAGCCTTGTCGCTCTGCTTTCTCTGCCCGGCCGGCGGGGGATCCTTCGCGACAACTCAGGTTCAATTCCTGGTTGACGCCTATGTATTCAATTCGGTTTTTGTATGCCTATCTAGAAAATTCAGTATGCCTGTCTATAGAATTCAGTATGCCTGTCTATAGAATTCAGTATGCCTGTCTAGAAAATTCAGTATGCCTGCCTATAGAATTCAGTATGCCTGTATAGAGAATTCAGTTTTTTGGTATTGTTTTGGTTACTCTCTACTTACTTTCTGGATGAAAAAGTAAATGACTCATTTGGACAGAAAAGCAAACAACCATTTGGACAAGACGAAACCCATTCGGACGAGATGGAAACCATCTTTACTTTGACTTGCAAAGAGAGAGAGAGAGAGAGAGAGAGAGAGAGAAGGTGTTAGAAATTGATGGACTTGGACGTTCTTGCTTCTTCCTGGCGCTGTGCGCTGCTTTAGGAAACCCGCCGCTCGGCGGCTTTTAGTCACACTTTCATTACAGTCACACCTCAGCGTTTCCTTCTCATTAAGCTTTGCTGAGGTGAGTAGATTATTAACATTCCTTTATTTCATTGACTTGTTGTACCTTAGAATCTCTTCTTTTATTAGGTACAGAATACAGTGTTTTGTTCTCATTGAGCTTCGCTGAGGATCTCTTTTTTTATTAGAAGGATTTGTTTTGTATTCAAATACCAAATACAATGTTGCTATTTTCTTCACCTCCCTGTGTCATGAAACTTGATCAGCTTTGGCTGTGAACCCTCATCGGCTTATACTGTGAGGTTCCATCATCTTGCTGTGAGGTTTCATCATCTTGCGCTGTGAGGTTCCATCATCTTGCGCTGTGAGGTTCCATCAGCTTTCGTCACCTTGTGTTATGAAACTTCATGGTCTTCTGCTGCGTTGATGGTGTAGTGGTAGCACACTCGCTCTGTATGCGCTGCCGCCCGTAGCGGTGGCATCTTGCGACAACCCAGGTTCGATTCCTGGTCAACGCCTGTGCATTCAATTTGCTTTTTGTATGCTGTGTTGAGAATTCAGTCAACCCCTGTGTCGAGAATTCCGTTGGCGTCTGCGTAAAGAATTCAGTCGACGCCCTGCGTATGTAGTCTAGAGAATTTCGTTTTGTATATTGTATCATTTTGGCTATTTATTTATTTACTGATTGTTTTCTTGAATGAAAAACATCTTTTATTCGTTCATTCTTTTTATTTCGCCATTTCATTCTTTTTATTTCGCCATTTCATTCTTTTCATTTGCCATTTCATTCTTTTTATTCGTCATGTCATTCTTTTTATTCGCCATGTCATGTCATTCTTTTCATTTTCCATTTCATTCTTTTTATTTACCAGTTCGCAATTGGCCTGCTCTCCAAAGTTTTCAGTCATCCTACTATCCAAAGCTTTCTTTCCCATTTTATCCTGTCCCAAACCTAAACCCAGGTCAAAATCACTATGAGCCCAAGTCAAAATTACTACGAGCCTGGCCCTGAAACGACGGCACGAGCCTGTGAACGGAAACGAGACTCAGACTCGCGCTCGAACGGAATGAGACTAGCGCTCGAACGGAAAATGAGACTAGGTAAGTAAAGCCTGGTATAATGCGTCAAGTAAAGCCTGGTAAAATGCGGTAAAGCCTGGTAAAATGCGGTAAAGCCTGGTAAAATGCTGTAAAACCTGGTAAAATGCAGCAAGCAAAGCCTGGTAACTTATGATGCGTCAAGTAAAGCCTGGGAGAATGCGATAAGCCAAAAAAAAAACCCCTGGGAAAATGCGGCAAGTAAAATGTAGACCTGTAACTTCCGAGATTTCAGAGGGCCTGGTAACGAGGCTAAGTAAAATGCGGCAAGCAAAACCTGCTATAATGCGTCAAGTAAAGCCCGGTATAATGCGTCCAGTAAAGCCTGGTAAACACAAAGTACAGTAAACCCTGGTAAACACGGCAAGTCAAAAAAAACCTAGTTATAATTGGTGTGAGCAAACAAAAAAAAAAGCCTGGTAAAATGCGGTAAAACGCGGTAAAATACGGCAAGTCAAAGTAAAATACTTACGGCAAGTCAAAAAAAACCTAGTTACAGCGTGTAAGCAAGAAAAAAGCCTGGTACAACGGTGGTAAAATGCGCACGAGCATGTGGAATGGAACCAGACGGGTACAAACGGATAGGTACAAAACATTACTTACTTACTTACTCACTTACTTACTCACTCACTTACTTACTCCTTACGACGGCGCTAAAATCGATCCCTATGGCACACACTGAAACCGTCCCTATGGCACACAATGAAACCGCAGAAATCCTTGTCCAGAGTAGATGCGGCTATTTTGAGACGCTCGCAAGGGGAGACTAGTTTTGAGGTGCTGGCAAGGTAGGTAAAGCTGGCCGTTATATTATTTGATTGGGGCGTGCGCTCCGAGTCAAACGCATCTGATTCGAGCGCCAACACGTATGAAATAAGCGCCAACTTACCGCGCACAATAGTCCAAAGGCCTGATCCAGTTGCCCCTTTTTCGGCCAAATCTTGTCCTCAGGCTTTTGCGATTTTTTTGTCCGGATTTGGGTCAGGGCTAGAATTTGGGTCAGGGCTAGAAAAGATCCTTCAAACCAATACTCAGGCTACTACATGTTTATAGCTGTCTGTAGATACTCAAAGCAGTCCAAAATCTCAATAACTACTCAAAAAAAGCTTGTATTCCAATTTGGCAGATAAGTAATGCCAAGCAATCTGGTGGCTTTCTCAATTCATTCCAACTCTTCTTCTGAGATCCCTTTATGCTTCCTAGCTAATTTTATGGCTTCCTTGAACATATGACACCCACTTTGCAGAGATTTGAGTGTCGTCGCGGCTTCTGTTGTGAGAACAATACCGGTCACTGTCCGGAGAACAATACTGGTCACTGTCCGGCCAATGGCTTTAGGGTGAGGGCACAGAGGAAATAGATGGAAGGAGAGATAAATGGATGCAAGGAAAGATGGCAAACCAAAAAGATTGGGATGCAGCAATTTGAACACGCAATCTCTGAAGAAATAAAAAGGAAAATCAATGCCTATGTAGAACCTCTACACCATAGTTGCCCATGATATACATATTCGCGAGTCATTAGTACTTTGTCTGGACTTCTGGATCAAGCCTTGTCTTGCTGAAAATCTGATTTTTGTCCACCCATATCATGCCAAAATCTCAAATTTTGTCCGGATTGAATTTACTTGCTTCCTTCCGGATCAAGCCCCTAGGTTATTGTCCAGGGTCCCAAGTGAAACCGCAGAAATCTTTGTCCAGAGTAGATGTGCGGCTGTTTTGGTGCGGGAAAGGGTTGGGTGACCGGGTTAGGGTACCCAGGCGATGTGACCGGGTTATAATACCCAGGCGATGTGACCGGGTTATAATACCCAGGTGATAGTGACGGGATATAATACTCAAGCGATAGTGACGGGGCCATATGCATACTGTAATGACATGCATCTCGGGCTGACAAGCATGGACTCTGTATCTCGGGCTGACAAGCATGGAAGACGGCTCGCGGGGTCTGGCAACAACGGTTGCGATATAAGCAATGAGAAAGCGACAACAAGCGATAGAAAGAGCGACAACAAGCGATAGAAAGAGCGACAACAAGCGATAGAAAGAGCGACAACAAGTGATAGAAAGAGCGACAACAAGTCAAGGAAAGAGGGCCGCTGTCAATGGTTATTGGTCCTTGTTTCGACGAAAATAAGTATACAAGGTCCGTGAGTCATCGGAAGCTCCGTACGTATTGGACATCGGATGCTCCGTACGTCTTGGGACATCGGACGCTCCGTACGTCTTGGGACATCGGATGCTAATGACATGTATCTCGGGCTGACAAGCATGGACTCTGTATCTCGGGTTGGAAAGCATCTCGGGTTGACAAGCAGGGATGTCTCGCAGCGACAATGTCAATGGAAGAAAAGCTCGAGCTGACTGTACAGGAAATGTAATAGAATATAGAATAATGGGAATGTGGCAATGGAGGCATGTGACAGTGAAACGAGCGAGTGGTGCGCGTCCGTGAGTTATCGGAAGCTCGTACGTATTGGGACATCGGAAGCTCGTACGTATTGGGACATCAGACGCTCGTACGTGTGAGTCATCGGACCCTCGCAGGGACGAGCGCCCATCGGGATTTTCCAGTCGACGTGTCAATCTGTCCGACGCCATTTGTCATTCGACCCTTGACACATCGGCTTGTCCTCCGATTTATCACCTCGGCTTGTCCTCCGATTTATCACCTCGGCTTGTCCTCCGATTCGTCACCTCGGCTTGTGAAAAGGGAAGTCTTCAATTACGTCACATCGGGTTGTCCTCCGACATGTGTCAACAGCCGCTGTCCTCCGACATGCGTAAACTTAGTCAGATGGTCAATTAGTCAGATGGCCCCTATAGTCAGCGGAGAGGACAACTAGTCAGCCGAAACGCTGGGCCACGTTACCAAGCCGTCTGCGTCTCGACATTATCCCGGAACCGGGAATCTGTCGTATGCATTATCCCGAAACCGAAACCCGAATCTATCATGTCCTCGCGGGCTTCTCACCGACCACCACGATCTTGTTGATTGCTGCTCGAGTGACTCGGCGACTACGGCGTGCTGCTCGGGTGATTCAGCGACTACGACTAGGACGACGCTGCTGATTCAGCGCCTTATACAATGAGCTCTAGGGAGACGAGGCCCGCGTGGTATCGACGGTTCTCTTCTAGATCTTCTTCGTTCGGCATCAAGGGCATGGACAACAAGCTCAGCACGGAGCGCTTCGCTGCCTTTCGGATCGACAAGGTCTCCTTCCTCAGCATCGACAGCCTCTTTTCGCGAAAACGCGAGCCTGGGCCCCCGCGGACTGTTTTTGTGAACCAGGGGCTTCCAAAGGAGTTTTTGGATAACAAAGGCCGTATACAGCCTGCGTTCAGGTATCCAAGCAATCAGGTTATCACGTCGAAATATACGCTTATAACGTTCTTGCCGCGGAATATGCTGGAGCAGTTTACGAGGGTGGCTAATATGTACGTCGTCGTTTTTCGATTTGTTGTTCGGATCATGTTCGTTCGGGTTACA